AAAAAAAAAAAAAACAGTGAGCGAAAAAAAATATCTTTAAAGTAAAAATAGTCATAATTAATTTAAGGATATAATATTAAAGATAAAGACAATCTAAGTAAAGTATAAATAACAATTATAGTCAATGCAAATGATATAAAATTTTAAAAATTAATTAAAATAAATATAAAACTTGCATACATTTATAATTATAATTAAAACTATGCTTTATTTGTTTCACTAATTTGTATTTTTAATTTTTTTAATTTTTAATATTAAATTAGTAAAGTTAATTCCATATTTTTAATAAAGTAATGAAACTAAATATTATATTAATTTAATCACATCTATGAATTTTAAAATATTATTTTTTTCTTTGAAATTGAAATAGAACGAAACGTGAATATATTTTTTATGATAAATTGAAAATTTTAATACAAACAAAAAATAAATTATACTTTTAAAATAATTATAGATCTTGTCAATGTCTATATTATAAACAAAAATATAATATTTAGTAAATGAAGCATTATTAAAATAATCTTCTTCATAATTTGTCATTTGCATATTTATATTTATTAGTTTTTTATTTCTTGTATAAAATCACTAATATTAATTTCATTTCTTTTAATAAATTAATGAAACTAAATATTGACTCAAATTAAATTATATTAACATTTTGGAGATATTAAAGTTTTTTTTGCCTAATTAGGAGTTTTTTTAAAAATTAATTACTAAATTAAGGTTATTTTAAATCATATTTTCACAGTCCTTCAAAGGACAATATTTTTATTATTTTAAAGGGAATTTCAATTCTTAATTGGCATGATAGTATATTAGGTTGATAACAACCAGTAAGTATCATTTCTTTAGAAATTGATGCTCTCTAAAATCGACATGTGTTATTCAGATACGCAATGTAATATCTGCTGAGATGATATTCTTTGAACCATAATTTTAAACTTTTTTTATTAATAAATATTTATTTTTAAAAATAGATTAATAACAATAATTTATTAAAATTAGATTAATTAAATAATAAGTATTAAATATAATTATATATTAAATATTTATTAATTTAGGGTTTAGGGTTGTTTTTAACACACATCACAAGTGTCGCTCACGAAAGAATGACACTACTTTTTTTAGGTTTGTTGGCAGCTATATTTAGAGATAATATTGTATATCATGTAGCAAGTATCATTCCTTTGTGAACCATAATCTTTAAGTTTGACACTTGTCATCCTAAATTTGGGAAAATTTTACAAAAGAAACTTAAATAAAATAATATTTTTATTATTATTACCAATAAATGTTTTATTAAATAATAACGATTTAAAAGAAATAAAAATAAAGAAAATAGTTAATTATACTAATTCAAATATTATTATAATATTATTTGAGTTAGATATTTTTTAATCCTTCGAAATAAATTTAAATTTTATTTTATTTTGATAAAATTATTTATTTTAATTGAGTCTTATATTTAAAAATATATTAATTTTAACGGAAATATATTTATAATAATTATTAAATTTATTCATTTACAGTGTGTTATTAAATTATAATAATAATAATAATTATTTCTTAATTTTATTTTAAATTACTACTGTTAATCTTGTCTTTCTAATAAACTAATGAAACTATGTATTGTATTTAATTAAATCACATTAATAATTTTGTGAAATTATGTTATTAATTTTTGTATTTTTTATAAATAAATATATAGACAGATAGAAAAATATGCAATATAAATATTATTATATTTTGTTAAAATTTTATATAATGTGTAATTATATAAATAAATATTTATGAAATTATGCTATTAATATTTCATATAGGATGAAAATAGGTCAAATTGTCCAATAAAGGCATATAACTTGTTTAAAGTCTAGCTTAACTTTATCTATTTAGATAATAAACTTAATTTAGACTCTTAAAAAATTTAATTAATTAAATAGGTTATATTTGAGTTTAAGAAAAAATTTATTAAATCTAATAAAATAACATATTTAAAACTCATAAAATTTATAATAATATATTAAATAAATTAAATTTTAAACTTTAATTTTTTCTGTTAAAGTAAGAAAATGTTCCTAATGCATATTCTTTGAGAAAGAGAACATTACTTGCAGGAATCTTTTGCATTATTGTGTTACTTGATCTATTTTATATACATAATGTTGATATTCATTTGTATTTATTGAATGTTTAATAATTTACTTATTTAATTGAAATATGTGATTTTAATTTGATAAATAAAAATATGTAATTTTATTACAAATTTTTAAAGTATTAAATTTTTTATGATTTATTTAAATATAAGTCTTATGACTTTTATAAAGATATAGTTATTTAGATTATTTGATAACTTATTCATAAAGAGACTTAATAGTTATTTTAATATGAAATATGCAATTAAAATTATTAATAGACTAAATCAAAATTTTAAAATAGTTAAATTTAGACTCAATAAAACATTTATAATAGATAACAAGTCATATTAAGACTTTAAAAGTATTAAATATATCAAACTCATTTATACAAATTTTAATTTATTCTCATTCCTAATTTTGTATATAATTGTTTTAGATAAATAAATATAAAGAGAAAAAAAAAGAAAGATACATTGAATAAATGTCTTCAAGATAAAAATGCTTATAATTAATTTCAGATGTAACTTTAAAGACAGAAAAAATAGTCAAACAAAATAATAATGGCATAGTCAATACAAAAGTAAGAAATAAAATATTAAAATTTAATTAAAATAAACATAAAGTTTGAATATATTTATAATTATAATTAAATTTATTCTTTCATTTGTTTTATTAATATCTAGTTACCTTTATTATTTATGTTTATGTAATTTCTAATGTTAAATTAATATTTTTATAATCTAATGAAACCAAATATTATCTTAAATTAAATTATATTTATAAATTATATTTTTATATTTTAAGGTTTAAATAGGATGTAATCGCTACTGTACCTAATCTTAAGTGCATTTTAATACTTTACAATAAAGACTAAATATGTATTAAATTTTGTCATATAATTAATGATATGTCTTCTGAGATTTTATGAAATATTTTTTAATTTTTATAAGTAAAAAAATAACCATACAATATTGATTTTTAAAAATTAATGTTAAAATAATTAGAAGTAAAATAATTAATTAAAATTTTACTCTAATATTTTTATTTTGTCACATCTTCAATCATTAAAAAGATAAAAAGTAAAGTAAAAATTGAAGATAAGCAAAAGTAATTAGTATTCTGCTAAAATTAGTAGAGTAACACTCAAATACTATGGTGTCTCTAAAAAATAATGACACTTTTAAAATGTAAATTATTGAAAAGTAGTCATGAGGACATAATTTCAATGGTATGGTCAACGCAAAAGATATAAAAATTTAAAAGTTAAATAAAATAAATATAAAATATGCATACATTTATCATTATAATTAAATCTATGCCTTATTTGTTTCATTAATCTATAATTACCATTTTATTTTTTTAATATTAAGTTAGTATAGTTAATTCATATTTTTAATAAAGCAATGAAACCAAATATTACATTAATTTAATCAAATCTATAAAATTTAAAATTTTACTCTTTTTATTGATAATTTAAATAGAATGAAATGTGAATTTATTTTTCATGATAAATTAATTTTTAATATAAAAATTATACTTTTTAATAATAGTATAATTATTAAACCATATATATTTGTTATAAAATAAAATCATATATATATATATATATATATATATATTTATATGTATTGTACATGCTACAAAATTAGTATTTAGATAAATAAATAGGTGTGAGATTAAGTTAATATTTTTATTTTCATGTAAATTTTTTAGATGGATAGATTTATAAGAGAGAAAAGGTCGAAGATATGCTAACCAAGAGTCTTTTACGCCAAAAAAATGTTCTAATTAATTTTGGGATATAACATTAAACATAGACTAAGAATGCTATCAAGAAAAAAAAGAACATCATTAAATTTACTTTATGTATCTTTATTTATTTCCTTAAGTCATCATTATTATTTTTATTTCTCTTATAAAATTAGTAATGTTAATTCCATTTCTTTTAATAAATTAATAAAATTAAATATTGACTCTAATTAAATCATATCAATATATTTCAAAATATTACTCTTTATATTCAGAGTTTTAATTTAAGGAAAGATTGATTTATTGTATACAATAAAAAAAGATAAATTTTATACGAGGACAAAATAAATTACATCGTATACAACTATTGTATAAATTACATTTATAATTAAATATTAGTAAAATTGGGTTGTTAAATTATTTTTATATAAAATTTGATAAATGTATAGATATAAAGATAGAAAAAGAGAGGAATATATGTTAAAAGAATGTCTCTAAGGAAAAACTATCATAATTAATTTGGAGATATTACATTAAAGAGGGAGAGAGAAAACAAGCCATGCACAAAATAACATTAATATAGTCAATGCAAAGAAAATGAAAAATATTAAAGTTAAATTTAAATAAACAAAAAGGAAATACATTTATAATTACCATTAAATTTATAGCTTTTGCATGTGCTGTTAAATTATAATAATAATTATTTCTTAATTTTCTTTTAAATCACTAGTGTTAATCTTATATTTTTAATAAACTAATGAAATTTTGTATTGTATTGAATTAAATCAAATTAATAATTTTGTTAAATTATGTTATTAATTTTTATGTTTTTTTTACTAAATAAACATAAAGAAGGAGGAAAATATGCCATATAAATATCTTTAAAGCAAAATTCTCATAAAAATGGAAAGACATTGAAAGTGAAAAACAAAATCAAAATTCTCATAATTTCATACAAAAGGGGTGTGATTTTGTAAATTGAAACAAGTATTGCATTTATCGTCATTAAATTCATTAAAATGTATGAGTATGTTTAAACTCTATTTATATTGCTGCAAAGAATTGAGAATTGTATAGATTGACCCTTTGCTCTGTAGCATTCAGCAACTATCTCCCATGGCCACTACCTCCATTTTTCTGTTCTCACTTCTCTCGAGCCTACTCTTAGTCTCTTTCTCGGGTGTTTCAGGAGAAATTCCCAACGCATGCAAAAACTATGAGTGCCCCCATTACACTGTTGTAGAAAAGGGCAATGGCTACGAAATTCGCCGCTATGATTCCCTTGTGTTGATCTCAAATTCCCCTGTCCAAGGCGATTCTTTCGTAGAAGCAACAAGAGATGGCTTCATAAGGTAATTCTTCTGACCAAGTTTTTTACTAATAGATCTTGTTATTTTGTATACTCTATTAAAAAATTGGAGGCTTTCCTAACCAACTTTGTCTGTTTTTTTTTCTCAGGCTGTTTAGTTATATTCATGGTGATAACAACAAAAAGCAAAAGATTAAGATGACAGCACCAGTGATCACTCAAGTGTCGCCTAGCAATGGAAACTCAACATATGATGTGAGCTTCTATGTGCCAAAAGCAAACCAAGCAAACCCACCTCTTGCAAAGGGTCTGGGTGTCGTAAGAATAAAAAGTACCTACGCAGCAATTAGACAGTTTGGTGGATTTGTGACTGATTCAAATGTTGGCAAGGAAGTTGAAGCCTTGAGCACTAGTCTTGCTGGCACTAAGTGGTCTTCTGCTGTTCAGAAAAGTTATGCTGTTGGACAGTACAATGCCCCTTATGAATTGACTAACAGGGTCAATGAGATTTGGTTCTTGTTTAAAACTAAGACAGAATTGCACGCTGTGTGAAATGTTCTTCATTATGACAATCAACAAATTGTTGTATTCACATGAATTAATAAGTAATATCATAGATAAACTAATTTCTTGTTCTTATACCTATGTGAGTATCATACAATTTTATAAACAACATTGTGCATGTATGAGCTTTCTTTAATGCAGATTAGAATAGTTCTGAACCTCGCTTAATAAAGAATTCAATTTTTCAAGTTTTACAGTTACAACTAAATTTGATTGATTTAATATTAATCCTAAAATCAACAAATATTTCACAGCGCTATTTAGATGTCATATTACAACATAGCAATTAGAATTAAGTACTCAACCTTGTGTAGGTAATGCACTCTTTAATATATTCACAATATTTTACATTGCAACCGTGGTTGCATTGTGTGATTAACAAAATCACAAGAAGTCACAGATAATTGTAAACGTTCATGTAGTTACGCATAGATATAAATGTCACGCTTGAAATTACAAATCTTAATTTAAAGTACTACATATTGCATAGCTAGACCATGAAGTTATGCAACTATTTTATATTTAATAAATTATATAAAATTAAGAAAAGTAAATATTAGAATTAATAATAATTATAATTATTCTATTCTATAACTTAATATTAAATTAAAAACATATATACATGATGTAAAAATTATTTGATATGGTAAAAAATTAATCTTTAAAAATGTTTCACTTTAAAAGTATTTTTAAAATGCTCTGTTAAAAAAGTAACGCTTATAATTTATATGTAAAAGTTAAAGGTTGATTAAATTAATAGTAATATTAATATCAGTCGTTAAAATAAGTTTTAAATATAAATTAAAATGAACCATGAAAGTAAATACAAATAAAACTGTCAAATTAAAAATGGTAAAAGCTTTGATACTGTGAAAACAATTATAATAACACAGGGTCCCATCAAAATGAAAAAATCAAAACAAAATGTAAATAGAAGCAGCAATTTCAAAGTTAGAAAAGAACTAAAAGTCAACTACTAACCACGCTAGTTGCTCAGCCAATCCTACGTACTGAAAAGGTTGAAGTTGAAACCATGAGGAAGACCCATTCACACAAACATCGTTTATTTTTACTTTTCTATCTCTAAAACTCATTTTATTTTCCTTCGGTGGATTCCTCTATTTCCATTGCCTTCATAGATTCAACTTCTGGTTTTGTTTGGTTGGGTTGGGTTCGGAGGAATGAAAAAGAAAATGAAAACGAAAGTGGCATGTTGTTCCGTGTGCCAAACGCGCTACGACGAGGAGGAGCGGGTCCCACTGCTTCTCCAATGCGGCCATGGCTTCTGCCGAGACTGCCTTTCTAGAATGTTCTCCGCTTCAACGGACACCACGCTCACGTGTCCTCCATGCCGCCACGTGTCCCTCGTCGGAAACTCCGTTTACGCGCTTCCCAAAAACTACCCTGTCCTCGCGCTCCTCCGTTCGCCGTCTTCTAACGCCGTGAGGTCCGTTCTTGACTTCGATTTCGATTACACGGACGAAGAAGACGAAGAAGAAGAGGAAGACGGCGGCGTTTTGCGGCGGAGCAGTGCGGCGGCGGTGGTGGCGGCGCACGGGGAAGTGAGGCTGGTGAGGCGGATTGGGGAGGGGAGGAGGGAGGGCGTGGAGACGTGGACGGCGGTGATCGGCGGCGGAGGGCGGCAGAGCGGGCGTAAGGTGGCGGTGAAGAAGGTGGACGCGGTGGAGGAGGTGGAGTGGGTGATGGAGAAGCTTGAGGTTTTGCGAAGGGGCTCAATGTGGTGTAGGAATGTGTGCACGTTTCATGGGGCAATGAGAGTTGGTGATAGTTTGTGTATTGTGATGGACCGGTGTTATGGATCGGTTCAGTCTGAGATGCAACGCAACGAGGGAAGACTCACTCTGGAGCAAGTATTAAGGTTTTTATTTTTTTTATTATTATTTTTATTTGTTTGCTTGATTTTTTAATATTTAAAATATAAGGATAAGGTCCAGTTGAAAGGTAGCACTTGCAGTTGATTTCAGGTGTACATGGATAAACAACTTAGTTAATCGCTTGTTTAATGAAGTTTAATTGGATGAGAGCTTTGATCATGAAGCATAATAAAATAAGCTAAAAATAAAGCTTATTTTAATAAATTATAATAATAAATTTTTGAAATAAGTTAAAAAAAAGCTATCAGAAATGTTTTGCTTGTGATTTTTTTGTCTTTTGATTTTTGTTTTATTACTTCAAAGCAATAATGTGGTTATTAATTATAAATAAATAAATAAATAGATATAAAATATAATTTATAGATATGTTGTGTGGTGTAAAGTTTATATTAAACTGTGTATGACGAAACATGGATATGATTCGAAACTGTAAATAAATGGTAATTATAAAATTGTTTATAAAAAAGTAAAAGAATAGATATTATAAACTTAGTTTATGAATATCGTGTGACGTATAAGATTCACATTGGACCCTTTTATGTGTCAACATATTACACACTTATGATATGATTGAAGTTAGAGGAGTGCGAACAACATACTCTTTTTTAGGCACTTTGTTGGTTAGAATTTATTAGAAACAATGAAATTATGAGTGAGAGTCATTAAATTATGTGTGAAACTTGTGACGGAAGATGACAAAAGGTAAGAATGACAGTGTTTTGGAATGTTTTTGATCTCCGTTACAATTCAGCAAAGGATCATCCAATATTTATATACAATGATTTTCCTAAATAGAGCTCATACTCTTCTAAAATTCTAATAGTAGAAAGGACAAAATAACAAATAACAGAAAGGACAAAATAACAGAATATTGTACAAGTTTGTTACAGAAAGAAAATTGTGCAAGATTGTTACAGAAAGAATATTGTATAAGTTTGTTAACCTCCCTCAAGCTGGAGAGGAGTGTCAACCATCTCTAGCTTGGACAAGTTTGCATGGAATAGCCGAGGAGGAAGAGCTTTAGTGAAGATATCAGCAAGTTGTCGAGATGATGGAATTGGTAGAAGTTTCATTAAACCTGCTTGTGCCTTTTCTTGAACCAAATGGCAATCTATCTCCAATTGTTTCGTTCTTTCATGAAATACGGGATTTGCAGCAATGTGTAAAACACTCTGATTATCACAATAAAGTGCTGCTGACTTAGAACACTGAATTTTGAGATCATTGAGAAGGTAAGTTAACCATTGCAACTCACAGGTGCTAGTAGCAAGGGCTCTATATTTTGCTTCGGAGGAAGAACGAGACACAGTATTCTGTTTTTTGGTTTTTCAGGAAATTAAAGAGTTCCCTATGAAGAAACAATACCCTGTGACTGAACGGCGTGTGGAGACGCAAGTTGCCCAATCAGCATCACTAAACCCAATTAGGTGAATAGGAGAATTTCGTTTGAAGTAGAGTCCCTTGTTTGGACAGCCTTTCAAGTATTTAAGAACTCTTTTTGCAGCACCTAAATAAGACTTTGTAGGATTTGCCATGAATTGACTTAATTGCTGAGTTGCAAAAACGATGTCTAGACGAGTCGTTGTGAGGTAAATCAAACGACCAACAAGGAGCCTATAGGATAGGGGATCATCAAGTAATTCACTCGAATTATCCTGTTTTAAACGAAGAGAGCTATCCATAGGTGTGGAACTCGGTTTACAACCCAATAATCCTGAATCTGAAAGTAACTCAAGGCAGTATTTTCGTTGAAATACAAAGATGCCATCATCAGACCTGCTTACTTCTAATCCTAAAAAATATTTGAGTTCCCCAAATCTTTAATTCGAAAATTGGATTGAAGTGTATGCTTGAGCTTTGTTATTTCAGTGAAAGAGTTGCCAGTTAAAACAATATCATCAACGTATATCCGTAAAGCAGTAAATTCTCCTTTTTCATGCTTGATAAACAAGCTGTGATCAGCATGTGATTGTGAATAATCAGATGAGAAAAGAAGGTTAGAGAGTTTTTCATACCATTTTCGACTTGCTTGTTTGAGCCCATAGAGAGATTTCTTGAGCTTGCAACACTGTGAGGATTCATGCCCATATAGACCTTGAGGAATCTTCATGTAAACCTCCTCGGACAAGTCACCGTGTAGAAAGGCATTACTAACATCCAGTTGCTGCAATTGCCAATTGTTTATGGAAGCTAGGGCAAGGATAACTCGGATGGTGGCCATTTTAACCACTGGAGAAAAAGTCTATCCCTTCAACTTGGGAGAATCTTTTCGCAACGAGCCTCGCCTTATATCTCTCCACATTCCCATCTACTTTCCTTTTGATTTTGTAAACCCATTTACATCCTATGGGCTTGACATTCTTAGGAGTTTCCACAATTTCCCAAGTTTTGTTCAGCTTTAAAGCCTCAATTTCATCCTTCATGGCTTCTTTCCAACACGGCTTCAAAATTGCTTCTTGATAGCTTCGGGGCTCAATCTCAGAAGTTAGGTTCATGATATAATGACACTCAGACTCAGTAATGGAAGAAAGAACAGATTGAATAGGATACCTGCACGTTGACGATGATTGATTTGGTTTGGTCTCTATATTGTAGCAAACAAAATCCGCAAGTCGAACATTGGGTTTAGAGCCACGAGTGGTTCGTCTTGGTATGAAAGGGATAGGGCTTAGATGAGGTGATGAAGAGATATGTGGCGAGATTGACTAGGATGGAGAGGTTGATGGCGAAATTTGTGGAGAGGATGAGGTTGTTGGGGAAGATAAGTTTTGAGGTGAAATGAGAGTCTGTGATGGAAGTTGGTCCTGAGGTGTAAAATTGTTGGGTTGAGGTGTGAGTTGGAGAGGATCAAAGTCATTGAAGGTCTCTGTTTGTGGAGGAAATAACTTTTCCTTTTCTTGGGCCTCGGGTTTGTTGTTAAAAGGAAAATGAGACTCATAGAAGATAACATCTCTAGAGACAAAAATGTCTTTATTTTGTAAGTCTAAAATAACATAGCCTTTTGTATCAAATTGATAACCGAGAAAAACTCCTCTAGACCTAGGATCGAATTTCCGTTTGGGCCCAGTTGTTGATGCATAACATAAAGAACCAAAAACTTTAAGCATGGAAAAATCAGGTTTTTGATTATGCAAAAGTTCATAAGGAATTTGTTTCTTTGTAACTAGAGAAGGTATATGATTAATAAGATAAACTGCATGTTTTATTGCATAAGACCAAAAATGTTTGGGCAATTGAGATTGGAACATGAGAGCACGTGCCACATTGAGAATATGTTGGTGTTTTTTCTCAACACGCCCATTTTGTTGAGGAGTATAAACACAACTGGTGTGATGTATAATCCCTTTTGAAGCGAAAAAATCTTTAAGAAAAAATTCTGGACCATTATCCGTCCGAATACATTTTATTTTGGAATCAAATTGGTTTTCAATTAAAGAAATAAAATTTTGAACATGTATTTTTACTTTGGATTTTAATTACAATAAGACAATCCAAGTATATCTACTAAAATCATCCAAGATAGTTAAAAATATTTCTCACCATGAATTGAGGCCTTAGAAAAAGTCCCCAAATGTCCATGTGCACCAAATCAATGTTTTTAAAAGCTCTACTATCACTAAGGCAATAAGACAATTTTCTTTGTTTTGCAAAATGACAAATGTCACAATTTTCATTAATATGTTTTGGAATAAAAGGAAATTGTTCACATAACATATTTAATTGGTTTCCCGAGAGATGTCCTAATCTATAATGCCAAAGGTTGGAGTTTGAGATGGCATTGGTAGCACTTTCATTAATGGAAGGTTTGTTTGGTGAAAGAATCTTGGCTTCTTTGTTGACTTGTAGATGATAGAGACCTTGTTGAAGATTAGCCAAACCAATCATCCCCAATGTATGCTTGTCCTGGATAGTGCAAAAAGAATCATGGAAGATGAGAATATATTTATGAATCATTATGAGTTTGGATATGGATAAAAGATTAAAATGAAATTCCGGAACAAACAAAACATTGTGAATGATAAATTCGGGAGAGAAAATGACTGTTCCGGATATATGGGCAGTAACAATGGACTTATCAGGTAAACTTATTTGTATTGGTTTAATATTAGAATAATTTGAAAAATAATTTAGAGAAGATGCAACATGATCTGTTGCTCCTGAATCTATGATCTAGGAGACATTGTGAGTGGTGTAAAAGGTGTTGTGTGTGTTGGTGCAAAAAACAAAGGAGGTACCATTGCACTCAAAATTTTTTTGAGCATTTGGAGTGTTGATGAGATTCACTCTATTGGGCTGAACGAGAGAGTTGGACCCTGTTACATCAGAAGCATTTTTTTGTTGCTGTGGTTGGAGCAAAGACATCAGGGTTTGATATTGGGTCTGGGTCAATGTGATGGGGCCTCCCTCCTCTAAACCGTTGCCTCCCAAAATTGGTTCAATCACAGCTGCGTTGTTGATGGAGGAAGAACCAGAGGCATCGCGGTTGAACTTTGGCCTCCCTGGGTATCGAGGATGGCCAGGGGGATAGCCATGCTTTCCCCAACACACGTCAATGGTGTGTTCAGGACGGTGATAGTAGGAGCATTTCTTGTTGGAGACTCCTTTGACAGCGGAAGAAGGACCAGAGCCACGCCCTTTGCCGGAGAAAGAGTGATTAGCTGCGTTCACAAAGGCGTTGGGCTCAGTAGGCGAAGACGAAGCGAGTTGTCGTTCCTGCTGGACAACCATGGAGAAGATGCGGTTGATAGCGGGGAGAGGATCCATCAAAAGGATTTGGGAACGCACAACAGAGAAGCGCTCGTCCAAACCTTTGAGGAATCGGATTATGAAATCCTGTTGGTGGTAAGTTTTTGCAGGACACGAGCAAGAAGAAAAGGGTCTGTAGTTATCGAGTTTTTCCCAGAGGATCTTCAGTGCGGTGTAGAACTCAGAGACAAGACGAGTTCCTTGAGAAAGTCCATATATTTCTTTCTGGAGCTCTGCAATTCTGAGGAGATCGCCTTGCGAAAAACGTTCGCGAAGGTCATTCCAAATGTCTATGGCACACTCGAGGAAAATAACGCTTTGGACGATGGAGGGAGTAACTGAGTTGAGTAACCACGACATGATAAGGGTATTGCACCTTTCCCAAGCAGAATAAAGAGGTTCTTCAACCTTAGGAACAGGAATGGTGCCTAACAAGAAAGCCATCTTGTTTTTTGAGATTAAAGCCATTTTAATGGCACGAGACCAAGACTGATAGTTTGTGCCATCAAGGACAGGGGTTATGGAGACAGAGGAGGGTCCTTCACTAGGATGAATGAAGAAGGGACTCGATGGATTCATGGTAGGATCAGTGGCTTCATTGCCACGGTTTTCTTTCTTAGGACCTTCATTATTGGAGTTCTTTGGACTGTCAAGAGGAGTAGAAGACATTTGGAAGGAATAAGCAGAGCTCCAGGAGAGATCTCTGATACCATGTGACGGAAGATGACAAAAGGTAAGAATGACAATGTTTTGAAATGTTTTTGATCTCCCTTACAATTCAGCAAAGGATCATCCAATATTTATATACAATGATTTCCCTGAATACAATTCATACTCTTTTAGAATTCTAATAGCAGAAAGGACAAAATAACAAATAACAGAAAGGACAAAATAACAAAATATTGTACAAGTTTGTTACAGAAAGAAAATTGTGCAAGATTGTTACAGAAAGAATATTGTACAAGTTTGTTAAAACTAACATAATTTTGTGAGTTTCAATAAATTTCAGCCAAAATAAATTTCATCCAACAATAAAAAATATGTTGTTAGTATTTCTTAAAGTTATGAATAAATAGATATTATGAAATTCAGGCGACTGTCGTGTACTCAGGTATGGTGAGATTGTACTAGCAAAACGCTGTTTTCTTGTTTTTATTCTCTAATCAAATGTCTGGTTGTAGTTTTTTTTTCCCCTTTTATCTGTGGTTTCTGTGGTCAAGGTTGTGGCAAGAAATTTATTGCTGGAACTTGGTACTAAGCAATAGAAGAGAAGCATAGTGATTTTAATGTTTGGTTAGTTTTAATTTATCTAGACTCTTTTGAGGAGTATTATCGCCAATGTCACAGGTGAGAATTTTAAGAACTGCTTTTAAAGAGAATGCAAATGTTCATGTTTATCTGCCGGTCAATGCTTACGTGAGTTAGCTGTACCTCAATGATCATCCGACAGGAGTTAATAGGATTGGTTTATTTAATAATTAATATTTAAAATTTATCCGTGAACAATAAGCATAAACAAAGGAAGGGTTGAATTTTTTGGATAAAAATTGTGTAGAAAATATGAAAACATTTCATCAGAACTTTTTAATCAATGACTTGATTTGCTTTCTTAATTCTTATTTACGCAATATGAGCAGCTTAAAAATAATTTCCATGTAATTTGAAGTCTTCCTTATTGTATACTAATTGCCTGTGATAGCTATGAATTGTGTCATCAAATTTTGCCAAATGTAGATATGGAGCTGACATTACGCGAGGGATTGCTGAGCTTCATGCTGCAGGCGTTGTTTGCATGAATATAAAACCATCCAATCTTCTTCTCGATTCAAATGGCCATGCAGTGGTTTCTGATTATGGACTTGCTGCAATTCTGAAGAAGCATTCCTGCTGGAAGGCGCAACCTGAGTGTTATGCCTCAAAGACCCACTCCTGTATGGAATGTACAATGCTTAGCCCACATTATACAGCTCCAGAGGCTTGGGGGGAACCTGTGAAGAAGTCATTAAATTTGTTCTGGGATGATGCAATAGGTATATCAACAGAGTCTGATTCATGGAGTTTTGGCTGTACGCTGGTGGAGATGTGCACAGGTTTTGTTCCGTATGTGAATCAACCCATTCTTTATTCAATTTTTCTTCATGATGTTCTTCACATTTCTTTTTCTAGATTTTCATATAGCAAATTCTATGCTTGTGCAGTTGGGCTGGTTTAAGTACAGAGGAAATTTATCAAGCAGTTGTCAAGGCGAAGAAACTGCCTCCACAATATGCTAGTGTGGTTGGTGGTGGAATACCTAGTGATTTGTGGAGGATGATTGGAGAGTGCTTGCAGTTTAAACCATCTAAAAGGCCTAGTTTTAATGCAATGTTAACAATATTTCTTCGTCATTTACAGGGAATACCCCGCAGCCCTCCTGCAAGCCCTGACAAGTAAGTCTCATAATTTATTATATCTGTGACTCGTATCTTCTATGCTATTTTTATGCCATCTGATTGAGCAGTCAAAGCATAGGCTAATTATGGTTTTTGATATCTAATTACATGAGCAAGCTTGTGAATGAACCAAATCTGCAGTTGCCATAGATGTCCAACAGTTGTCTTATATAATTTTATGTATTTCTATGAATACAGTGACTTCGTTAAAAGCTTTTCATCAAATGGGATGGAGTTGTCCCCTTTGCCTGAATTAGAAGTTTCTCAGCAAAACCCATTCCATCTTCACCAACTTGTTTCTGCGGGGGATGTCAGAAGTGTTAGGTTGGTTGGTGCCACAAAGTGGCAAATAATTTTCCTTGAGCTAGCTTTCATTTGAATTTTGCATCTCATTCTTTTGCTTTATTCTGTTGTACAGGGATCTTCTTGTCAAGGCTGCATCAGATTATGGCAGCAACTACCTATCTTCTCTATTGGAAACTCAAAATGCTGAAGGACAAACCGCTCTCCACTTGGCTTGTAGACGTGGCAGTACAGAACTTGTTGAGGCTATTTTGGAGTATGAAGAGGCAAATGTTGACGTCTTGGACAAAGATGGAGATCCACCTCTTGTTTATGCATTAGCTGCAGGATCCCCGGAATGTGTTCATGGTCTTATTAAAAGAAGTGCTAATGTGAGGTCACGGTTGAAAGATGGCTTTGGCCCTTCTGTTGCTCATGTTTGTGCTTATCATGGCCAACCAGATTGCATGCAAGTATGTTTTACTCAAATTATATTCAGATGCTTTTATTGGAGCTATTTTCATATAAATTTATGGTAAAATAACAGGAATTACTATTAGCTGGAGCTGATCCTAATGCAGTGGATGATGAAGGTGAATCTGTACTGCATATAGCAGTTGCCAAGAAGTACACTGAGTGCGCTCTTGTGATACTGGAAAGTGGAGGCAGTAGATCAATGGCCATCTTGAATTCAAAAAATATGACGTAAGAATAGACATCCCTTCAATTTTCTTTTTAAGCCTAAAATGTGTTTGCTATGTGTACAAAACCTGATTGTACTCAATTCCTGGAAAATACATTAACAACTTATATATTATACAAAAGAAGATTTTAAATGCTTTTTCGTTATTGCATGTGTAGAATTTAGATATTATTTTGCCTCGCATGCATATGTGATCATGTAGTCTTACTATTTTGATGTTGCAGACCGCTACACTTGTGTGTGGCAACATGGAATGTTGCCGTTGTAAAAAGATGGGTGGGAGTTGCAACATCTGATGAGCTTGCTGAATCAATTGACATACCGAGCTCTGTGGGCACTGCTTTGTGCATGGCTGCTGCCTCTAAGAAAGATCATGAAAGTGGTATGTAGGTCAGGGATAATTGGTTGATGCTTGATAATGATTTCAACATGTCTTTTCAGTTGCTTGAGCTATTGTAGTTTTCTATTCAAATATGTTATTATTGATTTTTACTTATTTCAAATGTTGGTGTAATTCTTCTTGTATATTTTCTTAATTTTTGCTAATAAAACTTCTTATGATAAAAGCCAAGGGGTTTTTAGGTTATCTGTACGCCTTTCAGATTCTAGCTGATCCTTTTCCAGTGAACTCTTATGATTTTCTCAATCTGATCAGCTAACTATATTCTTGAGTGAGAATGTTTTTAAGGAATTACTCTTATCCTCATTTAGCCACGTGACTTCTACAGTAAACATTTAATTTTATTTTTTGTTAATTTTTTATTCCTTTCAAATAATATTTATTATATTTTGTTTTAAATCTTTATATGCTGTATCCCTTTGAAGATATCTTTTTTTTTTTTTCTAGATAAATTGGATTTTAAGATTATTATAATCTTAATTTGAATTTTGGCACCTCATATTAATAAAGTTGTATCTCAATTTTAATAATTTACTTCCATATTTTTACCTCAACTTTAAAAGTATTATTTCATTAATTAATTCTATTTATTGAAACTGAAAGCATTAGGGTGTGTGTTTGCTTACACAAAATGCATGTCTTTATTGTGAACTAGTTAGTAACCTATGCAATGCACACATATTTTATTTTAAAAATTATTTTAACTTAATTCTATGACAAAAAATAGTATGTATTAAAATGATAAGATTTAATAAAATTACAATAATTTTAAAATTAAATAATAAAATATAATATATTAAGTATTATGAATTTTATATAAACAAAAATATTTATAGAAAGTCTAAAAGTTTATATAAAGTAATAAAAACCACCTGAGCACATGGATTAAATGGTAGGGGGTTATTTCAACTAAATATGTGGTCAGGAGTTTGAGTCATAGTAAATGCAGATGTGTTAGATACTTAGAGGAAGTTGAGAGAGAATAAATACAAGGATTTACAGTAACCTCATCACCAAAAATACATGATGTCCCTGATTACATAATCAACCTATAATTACTCTATTTACGTAATGCTTATGTAGTAATTTATACTGGAAATCAATTCAAAATATAGTTTCTTTTTTCAAATGTTCAATAGAAGTCATTAAAACCCCTTAGCTCCTTAAAGGGTGTTTTCTTCCTCTACCTTAATCCTCACTAAGCCTTCTGTATCCTTCACAAATCTCTTTGATAATTCTCAAGTTGAACTGTAGGATTTTCAGATCATGTAACTTGTCAAGCCAAGCCCATAGTTAAATGCGAGCTTATTTTTAAGATCATTACTTAACACACAGCCATCTTAGGCAGATATTTAAATCTGCTTACACCACGCACATTCTTGTTTAAAAGTAGTTTTATATGATCATGATGTTGAACATTAGTTTCATTGGAAGTCTTATGATATAATTTTGCAAGTATTTTTGCAATGATAATATCCTACCTGGAAGAATGCATGTGTAGTTATCAGAAACTGTACATAAAAGCATGTTGAAGTTTTTGATGTGTTGCTTAATGGGATGTTGGGAATGTTTTCCTTTACTTTCACTAGCTGAAATTTTGTTTGTCTTTCTGACCCTAGAAAAGTTATGTTTGGACTGATCCTAACAAATATAATCGTGTATTTTGTTTTAGTTAAATTTTATGTACTTATTGTAATTCTGGTTATGGAAACTTCAAATTTAGTCATATTTTTAAATAAAGCATAACTTTTGAAGTTATAACGATTTCTAATTTTAAAAGCTAAAGTGCTCCCCAGAAGTAAGAACTTATTTGCATTATTTATGGTAAAGCTGTGCACTTGCATGAGAATGGAAGCACAGGCGCATCATCTCTGTATTAAATAGTTTACAGCTACTACACGTTAATCATAACCCATACTGACACAGTGCTGTTCTGTTGTTATACCTGCATTTCCCATCCATCTGTTAAAAAAACACTAGAGCATTGATATTTTAAAATCATTTGTTATTGCTTCTGTTTTATTCAATAGTTAAATTATCTGATATTGTTTGCTCATTCCAAACATAGAGGGGAGAGAATTGGTGCAAATATTACTTGCTGCAGGAGCAGATCCATATGCTCAAGATTCACAGCGCGGGTGGACAGCTTTGCATATAGCTGTTATGACTGATGATGTTGAATTGGTTAAGGTGAGTAAACCAGCTTTTTGATTAGAATGATTAAACATCAATCTATATTCAGTATCATTTTGGTCTCTGAAGTATGATCATTTTATATCTAATGTTAAGCAACTTTTTATTTTTTATGATGTAGGTTATTCTTGCTGCTGGTGTTGATGTGAACATTCGCAATGCGCACAACAGCATACCACTACACATAGCCTTAGCTAGGGGAGCTAAGTCATGTGTTCAACTACTTCTATCTGTTGGGGCAAATTGTAGTTTGCAGGTTTTCATTCAAGTTTCACATTTACTCTGTTTCAGTATAGTATTACATAAAGTGTTATAATGAAATAAGATTGGAGGACTAACACATCTGAGGGACATGATTGTTATTAAAATTCTAACAGTTGTGTATGCTGTCGAGGACATGGAATGGAATATTGAAACTTTTCTCTAAGTGTATACAGTTGTCTACTTGTCTTCTGTTTGGGGATGTTTAAGGTCTGCTGATATAGTTGAAAGTTTAATGTTTGCTGCCATTGCAGGCATTTTAAACTGTCAGATGAATTACAGTTTAACAATTAGCGGTTTATCCACTTTTAGAAGTTAGTACATAACATCTCAAAAACTAAGTACTTCGTTATAACATTCTGTGGTGCACCCTAATATTAACAACTAGGCAGTTAAACGGTGTGGTTGGCACTTGACTAGAACTAAAATATTCTTAATTGACAGATTTTAGATTGCAACAAACTTCTTGAGGATGAAGTTTTACAATGGAACCTTACCATTCAATTTAACTGCTCATTAGTGAACAAAAGTTCAGGGGGGTAAAGTGTTACCAGCAAAACATTATATACTAACATTTAAAAATGTGTAAGTTTTAAATCTACCTTTTGGCTTGAATAGTGAGTGAGCATTTGTTTTGATTTATTGTTGTCTTTATCTTATCTATCTTCTTTTACATTTTAGGCTGGCTTGTGTACACGAACCAAGATAAAGAGGGTGGAATTTATTTTTGAGTAAATTATATTCCCTTCCCTTAAAAGATGTATATCTTACACTACCCTCTCTTGTAGTTTAAAATTATATAACCCCCTCCACTAAAAAATAAAAAAAATGAATAAAAATTTAATCCACTTTAAGTTTTAGTTAAAGAACTTTAAACACTTGTTTGACATATTTTACCAAAACATATTTTTTTAATAATTTTTTCACTTTCTTTGTCAATATTCAAGAAGCTCAGCGAGCTCAATGTATTTTCATGGAACAGTAAACACTTGTCATTGATTCATTGTTATAAGAGTTTTAAAGACTTGTCTTGACATCGAATAATAAAAATAAAAAAAAAATTCTCACCTTGATATAAACGACTTGCAGCTTTAATACATTCAAAGAAAAAGGTAGAGTACAGAATAGGAAACAGGGCATATAAATTAAAATTAGACTAAAGGTAAAAAATAAATTTAATGAAAACTAGACTATGGTTTATTTTCTAACAGTGCTTTAATGAAAAACTTAAAATGGATTAAATTGTGGTGCATTTTAATTTTTAGGGGAAGGATTTATATAATTTTAAAATAGAAGGGAGGGTATTGTTATATAGCATCTTGAAACGGAGGGGAATGTAATTTACTCTTTATTTCTAAATTTTCTTACTTGCTAGAAATATTTGGAAGTTGACATCCAACCTATCTTTTGAAAGTAAGTCTTGCTATTATATTTGTGATTTCAGGTTCTAAGGTGTTTATTTTGTCTCAGGATGATGATGGTAACACTTCTTTCCATATAGCAGCAGATACAGCAAAAAGGATACGTGAAAATCTTGACTGGCTCATTGTTATGCTACGGAATCCTAATGCTGATGTTGTAGTCAGAAACCACAGGCAAGTTGCAGCTTCATGCACTCATTTTTGTTTGATTTTGATTAAATTTTTCAGATTTTAAACATCTGAAAAACTTTTGTCCATCTAGCATCGTTTTAGAAAAATTCTAGGAAATTTTCATTTTTTTGCATTATGAAGAAAGTCCCTACTATCATACTATGACTGAGAGAGTTACGTTTTATTACAGTGGCAAGACTCTACGTGACATCTTGGAGGTTCTTCCCCGAGAATGGATATCTGAAGATCTGTTAGATGCACTCATGAACAAAGGAGTTTGTCTCTCTCCTACAATGTGAGGAGACAACATTTCCTAATTTTTTTTATTTAGTGTTCTCAAAAATATCTCCATTGATCTTGGAATATTTTAGAATACCGTAGAAAATCTTTAAAATATTTGTGAAATCAATTACTTCTCTAATTTAGGAAGAAACCTTAAGAGCTGTTCTCTAATTTCATTTTGTTTTCTAATTATTTTCCTCATTTAATTAGGGTTTGGAATTTATTGTCTTAGTGTGCTTGGGTTTGTACACTACTTTTTTTCGTAGAATCAGAGAGTGCTACTGCTTTGTACTTTTTATAGTAGCATATTATCAAGAACCTTCACTGAAAAAAGCTACTTTTTCTTTCTCTCCCTTCCTAACTTAAGCCGCATAAATTCAATAGAGGTGAGATGCTTATAAATTATTTTGATTGTTTTAGATTTGACGTGGGAGACTGGGTGAAGTTTAGAAAAACTTTCATAGCTCCAACAAATGGGTGGGCAGGTGATCGGCAGAAGCTTGTGGGCTTTGTGCAAAAAGTTTCAGACAAGGATAATCTCATTGTTTCATTTTGTTCTGGAGAGTATTGTGTTTTGGCAAATGAAGTTGTAAAAGTCATTCCATTAGACAGGGGACAACATGTTCAGCTTAAAGAGGATGTGAAAGAGCCCAGGTTTGTATTCACATAAAATCTACTTCAAATTAATAAAAGTTAGGAAAAGTATGCGGTCTATCAGTACATTCATATATTTACATTATGTACAGTAGTAATTACAAGAGGAATCAGAACTAATTAGCACCAATCACCCTTGAGTCAGTAACAGCTAATTCCAAGCATTATATATGTGCTTAATCCTAGCATTATATGATATAATGACTTTTTATGTGTATGCAGCCTTTGTAGGAGGGTTTTCTTTGATCCTTATAAAATACCTAAACAGATTGGAGAGGTTATTTGTCTTGTTTGAGATTTATTTGAGTTTCTATATTGCCATTGCATCATTATATATGTCTTCCTTCGTAGAAACATAAGATATAATGACAAATTTCCAAATTCTGCAATCAATAGAATGGACAAAAAGGGAGGGAGAGAGAGAGAAAGAACGTAAAGCAAAGTGATAAGAAATTGTCCCTCTAGAGTTCTCATGTCCTTCTTTGTGACCCAATATTGTGTAGGCAAAGAAATCATTGGCTGGACATGAAAAAAAGGAATACAAATATGACAGGATATTTATTAGGATTCAAAGATAAGAGAAGACGAGTGACAGGATGAGGCTGAATCTTTATTACTCAATCAAGCAAGGCTCAGAATTTACATACAATTCCAGAGCTCACAGCTCCTTTCCAGAGATTAAATCTCCACTTCAAGAATACATTTCCTAACTCCCTTTTTTGTTATTCCCTCCCTTTTTTTATACTTTCTAACTAACAAAACTTAGACCACCTTCCTAACATATAGATTTTATTAACTAGTGCCTTGTGCATGACACATGTTTTTCTTGCTCTCATTGATATTGATGAGTAATTATCTATGTTAGGTTTGGTTGGCCGGGGCAGTCGCGTGACAGCATTGGGACAGTATTATGTGTTGATGATGATGGGATCATCCGTGTTGGGTTTCCTGGACAATCCAGAGGATGGAAAGCGGACCCAGGAGAGTTGGAACGGGTTGAGGAGTTCAAGGTTGGAGACTGGGTTCGTATTCGCCCTTCTCTTACATCTACAAAGTATGGGTTAGGATCTGTGACACCAGGAAGCACTGGCATTGTATATTGTATCAGACCAGACAGTAGTTTGTTGATAGAACTGAGTTATCTTTCAACTCCATGGCATTGTGAACCAGAGGAGGTTGAACATGTTGTCCCTTTTAGGGTAAGAAAGAAGTTAGTCTAATTTCCTTTTTATGACAGTTTATTTGTCTCCTTACTTAATTGCATTAATTGCATCACCAATTTTTTTATCTTACAGATCGATGATCAGGTATGTGTGAAGCGATCTGTTGCAGAACCTAGATATGCTTGGGGGGGTGAGACACATCATAGTGTTGGAAAAATAAGAGAGATTGAAAGTGATGGCCTCTTAATAATAGATATACCAAACCGACCTGTTCCATGGCAAGCAGATCCATCAGATATGGAGAAGTTAGAAGATTTTAAGGTGATAATTCTTGTTCTTGACCTTTATATACCAATTTATGTTTCTTCTTTTTATATATTATGATGTGTTATAATTATCAACTTTATTTAATTTGTTATTTTGTCCAACTGCAGGTTGGAGATTGGGTCAGAGTTAAGGCTTCAGTGTCTGCTCCAAGATATGGATGGGAGGATATTACAAGAAACAGTATTGGAGTAATTCATAGCTTGGAGGACGATGGTGATATGGGTATTGCCTTTTGCTTCAGGAATAAGCTTTTTCCTTGCTCGGTCACTGATGTGGAGAAAGTTCCCCATTTTGAGGTGGGGCAAGAAATTCGTATGATTCCATCTTTGAACCAGCCAAGACTTGGACGGTCAAACGAATCTCCAGCTACTGTTGGAAAAATAGTGAGAATTGATCTGGATGGTGCTCTCAATGTAAGAATATGTATTTAAGTATTTTCTAAATTTTGCGCAAGGTATCATACTTGTAATGACTATTAACAAAGTGGATCCACTACAGTTTTCTGCGTAGCTATTTATTTTTGGTATAGAAAGCTTATAAGACTAAATATTTCCTAGGATTTAGCCTTCATTAGAATAAATTCTTGTGTAGTGGGTGAACTGAGTCAATTCGTTTCTGCCACCTTATAAAGCTAAAATTCAAGTTTGAAAGACGTTAGTTTCAAATCGAGGCCCTGTTGTAATCTTAAAACCGAAAATGTTTCTATTTAAGTATAACGATGCCAAACTCAAAACTGAACCATGAGTTGCAAATTATTGATTGACTATTTTATCAAGTTGGTCCTAATGGTATAGCTTTGTTGGTTAAGTGCTAGGAATATCAAAGGTTTTGGTACTAGAGGGACACCCGCTGCCCTGTAAAAATGTAGGATCAAGAGTCAGACATTCTTAGAAAACTGCTTTCAGTTTATAGCTTCGCTGGCATTTTTAATCTCCAAGTAAAATTGTACTGGCATGAAATTGTGGCCACTGCTGCTGTTCAAAAAGCTAAATTTCATATAAAACATTTTGGTAACAAGGTTATTTGTGATTGCATTCTTAGATTACTATTGACAAAAAGTTATTTTTCTGGTTTCATTGTAGGTGAGGGTTCCTGGTAGGCGGAGCTTGTGGAAAGTTTCTCCTGGTGATGTGGAACAACTTCCTGGATTTGAAGTTGGTGACTGGGTACGCTCAAAACCAAGCCTGGGAAGCAGATCAAGCTATGACTTGAGTAGTTTTGGAAGAGAAAGTATAGCTGTTGTACATAGTGTACAGGATTCTGGGTACTTGGAGTTGGCTTGCTGTTTCCGTAAGTTGAAGTCATGGACTCATTATACAGAAGTTGAAAAGGTTCCTGGCTTTAAAGTTGGACAATATGTTAGGTTTAGAACTGGTTTGGTGGAACCGAGGTGGGGTTGGAGAGGAGCTCAGCCTGAATCACGAGGTGTTTTAATCAGCATTCATGCTGATGGAGAAGTGAAGGTAGCATTCTTTGGTTTGCCTGAATTGTGGAGAGGAGATCCTGCAGACCTGGAAATTGAGCAGACGTTTGAAGTGGGAGAGTGGGTGAGGTTGAAAGATAATGCCAATGATTGGAAATCAATTGGACCAGGTAGTGTTGGTGTTGTACAAGGCATAGGACATGAAGGAGATGAAGGTAACAGAAGTGCTTATGTTGCCTTCTGTGGAGAGCAAGAAAGGTGGGTAGGACCAAGTTCCCATCTTGAAAGAGTTCACAAACTCTTTGTTGGACAGAAGGTTAGAGTTAAACTTAACGTAAAGCAACCAAGATTTGGTTGGTCAGGGCACACTCATGAAAGCATTGGAATGATTCAAACCATCGATGCTGATGGAAAGCTTCGAATATACACACCAGTGGGATCAAAAGCATGGATGTTGGACCCATCAGAAGTGGAGGCGGTTGAACAGAAGGAACTCTGTATTGGAGACTGGGTCAAGGTTAAAGCATCAGTTTCAACCCCAACTCACCAGTGGGGAGAAGTGACTCATTCAAGCATAGGAGTGGTGCATCGGATGGAAAATGAGGATCTGTGGGTGACTTTCTGTTTTATGGAGAGGTTATGGCTTTGTAAGGCAGGGGAAATGGAACAGGTTAGGCCATTTAAAGTGGGAGACAATGTTAGGATCAAAGATGGATTGGTGACCCCACGTTGGGGATGGGGAATGGAGACACATGCCAGTAAGGGACGGGTGGTAGGAGTAGATGCAAATGGCAAGCTAAGAATAAAGTTTCAGTGGAGGGAAGGGAGACCCTGGGTAGGAGACCCTTCTGATATTGTCCTTGATCAGGATTGATATGGTGCACGTGCATAGGAAGATCATTAGAATTTGTTTCATAATTTGATTCTCACTGAGCCCAGAAATGGTTCCTTGGAACTATATGTGCTGTGTTATGAGGATGGAATACGGATCAACCATATTTATTCATGTTAATAAACAGACTGAAAGGATTGAAGTGGTTTGCTTAGTTCATAACTTATGTAAATTATAGTTCTAGATTGAGGTATATAGACATTTTGCTTATATTGTAAAAATTACACTCCACAGTCAATTCTTCTTTTCTAACTCAACTTTATTGTAAAGTTGGATAATTCTTGAATGGAATTTGTTCCGTTATACAGCGTCTGCAATTACTCACCCTTGACTGCCAGTTTGACAAATATGAAGGGTTTGAACATCTTTTTACCTCACATTACTCATCGGCACCGTTAGAAATTGAGTAATTATCGGGGTAGTAATTGCACATATCTATAATCTATAACATAATATATAAAATAGGATTAATTCAATATGGAATATAACATGTGGTATAATTTTAACTCATTTTTTTTAAATTTTGTCCATTACTAAAATTTATTGAAAATTATGAAAGGATAAGAAATAAACATTAATTTAATAGTGAGAAAATAGTGATACTTAGGTAATTTTTGTAATAGAAAGTATGCTATAGAGAGTGTATTGCTAATATTTCTTTTGTTGTATATGTATGTTTTCAAAATAAATTTATAAAGTAGAATGAATTGAGGGTAGGAATAATATTATTACGATTGATAAAACTAATACGACTAAATCTTCATTTTAGTCTTTGAGAGGGTTTGTGTATTGTATTTTAGTCTCTGAAAAATTAAAAATATCACGTTAGTCTCTAACTTTCATCTTCGTTGGACATTTACACGTGTCATTGCTTATGTGGCAAAATAACGCTGGCGTGTCATGTTAAATGACACATGTTATTGATTACGTGGTAAAAACGACGTTGTATGTTGTACAGTATATGTTTCGTTTCATTTTAGTCCTTGAGATTATAACTTGTCGAGCATTTTAGTCCTTGAGATTATTATCGATAGACATTTAGTTCCTAAGATTATAACTCATTATTTTTTGGGTTTGTTTTGCTTTCATCTTCTAGCTTTCTTTCACATCCTCTTTAACTTCTTCTTGTGAGAATGTAATTACACACTATTCTTCTTCGTAGTTTTCCTTTGTATATATGCATATATTCATATCTAGTAGTTGGGCTTCACTTAAGCACAAAATCTTAAGTTGTAAGTGATGAAGTTGTTGTTAGTGTAAGCGCAATCTATTATGAGTTTGACTTGAAGATGACGTGTTGGTTTCTGAACAGCAACGATTGGTCTTGATGGTGCTACTGTTTACAAGGGTTAGGATAATGACAAATGTTTTAGCATAACTTTTCTATCATTTGACAAGTGCAAGAACTCTAATCCTTCTTCCCTTTCCTTTCCCTTCCTACAAAGCCACCAACCATCTTATAAATGCTGCAGCTCCACATGAATCTTCTCTATCATTTCCTCCACCAGATTCTCTTTCAACACAACCTCTACCATAGGAATGACAATGGGTAGGGTATGAATAGGGTACTATAGTACCCATCCCCATACCCACATTTTAAAAAAATACCCGTACCCAGCTCCATACCCGCGTGGGTATGAACATTAATCCCTGTATCCGTATTCTCTGGGTACTCGCATACCCATCTTGTACTCATTATCTGCGTTTGTTTGAGAAAAAATATTTATAAAAAAAATTGTTTATATAACTTCACATAAATAACATAATATTACAAAAATCCAATATGTAGTTGCCAAATAAGGTAAAAACATAGATAAAAAATAAATATGCAAATATCACAAGTGCTAAATATATCTTAATATAATAATTTTCTAAACTAAAATTCTTAGAAACAATAAGCGAAACTAAACACATAAGTTATTTGTCGGCGATAATCTTATCTTGTGTGATATTCGATCGATCGGCAATTTCAGAGCGACAACGAAATAGATTTGCACAATGGGTGGTCCTTTGTATGGGATCACTTTGTGACTTCTTATGGTAGCATTGACAACGATCTCTAATGAATAATATTTTATAGTTGTTAGGTTTTAATAGAGTAGAGTTAGAGCAGAGAAGTTCAAGTCCTAACAATGAAATTGTGAATATATAAAATATTTTTTTTTAACTTTTGAATTTGAAATTGTAAGAAAAATAATAGATTTAATTAAAATAATATATATATATATATATATGTATGTGTATTAATACTAGTATTTTTAACTCATATATTATACGAAAGTATTTTGTCAAAAATACAAATTTTTAAAAAATTATTTTAATAAATTAAATATTTATAATGTATATAAATTTTAAAAGAAAGAATTTGAATAAAAGATGAATAGTTACAATAAAATTTTATAATAAAGAAATATATGTGTGTATAAAAAAAATTATACTTTTTTATCTAAAGAAAAAATTAATAAATAAAAATTAACAATAATTTTGTATATTTTATATCTTTTCAAAAACTTATTTGAACGTAAATAAATAGTAAGAATAATATTATTTAGATTCAATAGATTATAGTTAAGCTTGTAATGCATATGTTTCATAGAAAAATATTATTTTAAATTAAAATATAAAAAATAAAAATTAAATATTATTAATAAATAATAAATTTTCGATAATAGTAGGTGATTGTAAAATTTATAAAATATTTACAATATGTTTATTATTTATCATTTACTTTATAATTTAAATATTAATATGAGTTTATGAACAAAAATATTTGGGTGAAAAATATTTTATGTGTGTCATATATAAATAATATTTTTAAAAAAAGTCAATCTAATATCAACTATGTAATAATTAAATTGTATTATCCTATTAAACGATATAAAATAGTAAATAACTTTTTCTATTAAAAATATAAACCAAAATAAATTTTTTGGTTTACTTTATTATTAAATATATTTATCTTATATAACTTCACATAAGTAGTATAATAATACAAAAATTCAATATATAGTTGTAGAACAAAATTTAAGCATATATATATATATATATATATATATATATATATATATATATATATATATATATATATATATATATATATATGCGGGTATGGGACGAGGTGGATACTTAGATACCCATACTCGCATCTATCCCTATTAAAATTTGCGGGTTATTACCCACACTCATACTCGTACCCATGTAGCGGGTAAATATCTTACCCATTGTGAGTAAATTTTGCAGGTATCCATCGGATATTTTACCTATTGCCTACCATCCTTCTCCTCTTTCTTCAGGGATTAAAATGCTCGTCGGTGACAATCTTAGGGACTAAAATGTCTGTCGGTGACAATATCATGGACTAAAATGCTCGCAGGTGATAATCTCATGGACTAAAATGTCCGACGAGTTATAATCTCAAGAACTAAAATGAAACAAAAACATATAACATATCACATACGACATCATTTTTGCCATATAATCAATGACACGTCAGCAAGTTTTGCTACGTAAGCAGTGACATGTCAGAATTCCATTACTGTCTATTAACGGCGTTCAGGTTTAAAAACTTAAATGTCTGACGGAGATGAAAATCATGGATTAATGTGATATTTTTAATTTTTTAGGAACTAAAATGTAAGATGCAAACTCTCTTGGAGATTAAAATGAGAGTTTAATCAAACTAATACTATTGAATTATAAGCGATGGAACTTCTAATTTTTTAAAGTTGTATTTTTTATATTAAAATATCTATATAGGTTTACATTATTTTTTATATTTCTTATATTACTACCAAGTTTCCTATCCATGGATTACTATAGTTTTATTTTGACAATAACTGTGAAAATCAAGTGACATCAACATCTAGTGACATCTTTCAAATTTAAACACATTTAATACTAAGATGCTTGTTTTTTTTTCTTATATAAGTTTTTACTTATACATTTTCATTAAAATTTAATACTACAATTTTCCTTCTTGTATCTTTTTAATATTTTTTGCAATTTTTCTCTTTTCTCTTTTTGATGCTTCTAAAGTGTTTTTTATCTACTTTGTCTAGTAATTTTCTCTAGGCCAAAAACTCCTTAAACAATAATATAAAGTCTTATTTGTATATTATAAAATGACAAAATAATTGCAAAGAAAACTGCTAAAATGTAGAACGCATGTTCCCATAATTTAATTCCCATGTTGAGTAACCGTTGAAACCTATTAAACCTACATTCTAAGGTGTGGGTGGTGTGGTAAGGGTTGTTGGTTTCTCTTGGAAGTAACTACTACTTCTAAAAAGAATGGTTTATTCGGCCACTTACTAGTTTTTAACATTTGTATTTAGTCGTAATACTCCGACTAATGTTTTTGGAGGGAGTAGGTTATTTAACCACTTAGATGTATACGAGGATACACAAGTTTATTGAGTTCACCACTTTCACGTATGTGCACCTAGTTTCCCTTTGATGAACTAGTCGAAATTGTCAATAGAACTTAGTCACTTTAGCAATGAACGTAAATTTGTTTGTCATGGTTACTCCAACTATGAAGTTGATTTGCCTCTATTTGTTTAACTATTTGCTAGTCCTTGACATTTGCTTTTGGTTGAAACCTTGCAACCCATGCTTTTGGGAGGCGTGGTTTATTCGAATGCTTGGATGTGGCTTGGTTGTCCTCTAGTCTAAGCAGTTGAAGGCAAATGAACGTAACCAATGAAGCTATCACATGTTTAACCATGTGTGGCCATCTAACATGATCTTTGTCAATTCCCTCCATAACTATTGCTTTACTTCAACTTTTGTTCTCGTCATAACTTCACATTTATAATCTCCTAATGATTGGAAGAATCAACAGTAGAAGTGTTAAAATAATTAACAAGATTAACGATATGGTCAAAACTCAAAAAGGTTTTTGCAAATGACTTCAATGGAATCATAATTTTGCATATGACTTCAATGGAATCATATACTCTAAGGAATAATTGATTGAAGCTACTTTTGGTCAAAATAGTTATGCAAAAATAATGGAATATTAAGCAAGTCAAACTAGGTTTTGTTCTTAGAGACTACTTAAAAAAAGTGATTAAAATATAATTGATCAATAGTTTGATGAATGTTATGTCAACCATTAGTCTTATTATTCTGACCTTGTAGGTCTTATGTTGACATATTTGTCTTTTGTTTTTCTCTAAACTTGTGGTTAGGATGTTAATGTTTAAATGGTTTGATCAATAATTTAGTTAAATAATTTAAGTATTCCTAAATAGTATTATAAATGATGTAGACTCATGTATACAATGCCTTTTGGAC